TCCCCCCTTGGTTCGGTCGGCCCTTTCGGGCCACGTCTCCACGCGGCCCCACGCCGCCTCGCCCCGCCCGCCCTCCGGCCCCTGGCCTGGGCCCCGCGCCGGCCTCTGCTGTCCGCTCATTGGCCTGCCCCGCACCCTTTAAGGGACGCGATTGGAAGGCACCGACAGTCCATCATTCCCTTTCTCCAAGCAAGGCCCCGCCTTCTCGGTCCCACCCAGGCTCCTTATCCTGGCGCTGGAGGCCCGGGTCCCGGGAGGTCGAGTCTACTGCTGCCAAGCCCTCAGCCTGCCTGCGTGGCCGTCCGCCTGTCTGTCCCGGCCCGCCTGACTGCCTGCCAGTGTCTCCTCTGCATCTCTAAGGGCCCAATTCCCCAGATCTCTTCATTTTCTCTCCTAGCCGCGGGGCTTTGCCTGGTCTGTCCTCGCTTCTGTTTCCGCTCTTCTCGGCTTCTCTGAGCCTCACCTAAAGAAAAACAGGTCATTTACGAAATTTTAAAGAATAGTAATATTAAGAGATGGGTAGGACGAGGAGAGACTTCGGATTCAGTCGTCCGGATAGAACACATCACCCCCCTTGCCCTGTCTTCAAGGCCTGTCCTTTGACTGGACCAGGTAATTTACGTGTTGCAATTTGAGACATCTACTAGCTTAGAAAGAAGTCTCCATCTTGTCTGACTCTCCTAGGAGCCCCTTCTTTTGGTTTAAGAATGGTTGGGAACTGGGAACTCTTTCCTCCTACCTGGAGCACAAATGAATGTGGTTTTGTTTGTTTTGCTCATGTAAACAAACTGTCCCTCCGTTTATCAATAAAAATTGGGCTAGGGCAAGTTCCCCACGCTGACTCTCAAGTGCCGTGGCTGAGCCCACTCAACCTGGTTTCCTTGGCCCAGAACAGTGTCTGCCACTTACTGGTTGCCCAGTAAATACTGGAAAGTGTTTGGAAGGGTCCTGATGAGAATGGCCCACAAAAAAAAAAAAAAAAAAAAAAGTGAAAAGGAAAAATTTAGGTGGGAGTCCAATCAATAGTGTGAGAGAAGGAAACAAGTATTAGACAGGAGAGTGGGGGGAAGAGCTTGGTGAGAGAGCCCAAATGCAGCCCCTCATTTCAGGGTTTTGTCTAAAGTCAGTCTCATCAACGCGCTTCCTGATATTTCTGCTGTTTTAGCCTGCTTGCCTTGCAGTACAGCAAACTTATAATTAGCACTAGTGAGAGAAGACTAAAAACAAACAAACAAAAACAGAACCATTTTGCCCTATTTCTCTCTCAGTAAGATCCTTATGAAGTGTTTCTGGACGGTCATAGGTTGAAAAGAATACAAATGCACTAAATGAGAAACTACTATGTGCCGTAGGTACACAATACTTAGACTTTATGCTCAAGAAGCACAGAGTCCACCAGTGTAGCAAGCCAGTACCAAACAAAAATTTTTTCAGTGCTGGAAGAGAAGGTTGAGTAAAGAAGAAACTTAAAGCCAACAGGCACAGTGATTCCCAAAGACACATGTAAGGTTAAAAGCTTCTCCTCTGACTGTGATATACCCCAATGCACATACCTCCCTCTTCTGAGAACCACTGGCCAAAAAGGTGTCTGGAAAAGATGTACAAAGGATGTAGTGTTTGAGGTGGATTTTAAA